CAACAAATTACTTATAAATACAACACTTATCCAAAAAACCTTTCGTATTAGTGGATACTATATAATTTTTAAAAGATCCAATTGTTTAATAGAAGTTTTACTAATTCTTCTAAAAGATTCATAGGTGAAAGAAGGAAAATCCCAGATTTGTATATGTTGAAGATTTGGAAACATTTCAAGAAATGAAAGGTCACAAGGACCATCAATCTTCAAAAAAACAAGACTTTGAAGATTATTCATTTTAAAAGTTGCTTTTAAAGATTGTCCTTGAACAATATCATTAAAAGAAATTGATTTTAATGATTTAGAAGTATGAATTATGTCTAATACTTCACCAGAAATAGGAGCATCAATCTTTTCTAATTTTAAACAATTATCAAACATAAATGACATTGCTGAATAAGAAATTGGAGGACATTGAAGTGCTTCTAAATCAAATTTTCTTAAATTTTTGCAATATTTGCCAAATAAGATAGCAATTTCTGATGGATCTTCAAATGTCATGGTAGCATGATTGAGAATTATTCGAATAGATAGAAGAGAATTACCAGCACATTTAGTGAACCTACATTATCCAATATATGTAAGTTAATAATAGATTAATGAAAAATGTACAAAATCGATTAAAGATGAAATAAAAACAGACCTTTCCCAAATATTCAGAGTCATTCTTGGATAATATAACCTAATGCTATTAATATTACCGGGAAGCACAGCTTCGCACAATGCATCAAAATTATTATTGACATCATTATTATTAAAATTAATTTGTTTTGGTTTAGAACTAGTGGTGAATAAATTTACAATACTTCGAGCAAAGTTCTGAGGAGTTGATACTTCATTTTCAATGTTTCTAACTTTGTCAAAATCATCAAGAGCATCAACATCATTAACTACATGTTCATAAGTGGTTAGATTGATACGAATCAATCTATCACTTAAAAGATTTAAAGGTAATTTCCAAGGTTTATCAGGACGAGCCTTTGAAGAAAATTTAAATTGAATATCTTTAAGATTTGGGCAAGTATTGGCTAAGAAAATAATTAAGGTAGCATCAATACATATTGAAGATTGTCTATCTGCTTCATCTAGCTGAATTTTTGTTACATATTCACCATATGGAAATAATAAATTAGATTCAGAAAGGGTTGATCTAAATCGTTGAAGAGAATCATTGTCCATAAATTTCCTAGCTCTCCATAAATGAGAAAGGGCATATTTTGCCCATTGACTACAAGATAAAGCCAAATGAAGGAGATCAGACGATGTAAACGAAGAGTTTTCCAATATTGACACATGAATCCCGTGAGGAATATGCATGATTAAATCTTTTAAAAATTATATAGTATCCACTAATACGAAAGGTTTTTTGGATAAGTGTTGTATTTATAAGTAATTTGTTG